GCGGGACGCCCAGGAACTGCTCTGAGTTTACCCAGGACAGAGCCAGTGAGGAAGGGGGAGAGATAAACAGGTTTCGAGGCGCCTTCTGACTTGCCACGGACCGGCTACCCCATGTCCTTCATGTTTTGCTCTCAGACTTGGAACTCAGCCACCCAACAGATGCAAAAATGGGTCTTTCCTGTGACTCCCATGAAGGGCATTTATCTTGGGAGGGGGCGGGCCCCTGAAGGCTTTTAATGCATTTATTGATTCTGCGTTGGCTCTTCTCCCCCTAAGCATTTTATTTTGTGGTTTCTATAAAAATTATAAACCCCCATTCTTGAAATATAAGAAAATTTAGGTAACTTAATAAGGTTTTTTTTTCAATAAACCCACCTCTCACCACATTAGCATGTTGGGGTATAGCCTCATGGAACATTTCTTTCACATGAATTATCATCTTGTAAAGTAAACAATGAACTATTAATATATCATAGACCCACTGAGGTAAGAATTTTTTCTTTGTCTCTTAGTGAGTAGAGAAAAAGAAATGAAGGACTGAGACAGTCAGATGGAGATGGTGCCTTCGAGACATATAAGGAGCCCCAGGTTGTATCTGAGGCCCAGGAGGGACCATGCCCTGGGGGGGGGCACGGTGAGCATGGGCTACGGTCACCACCTGCAAGCACAGCCACACAGCCTCACGCCCTGTCCACACAGCCACGGGGTGGTCACTGCACTGGAGGAACAAGCTCACATTACTTTGGGGAACCTTAGTATTGTCCATACAGGAATTTTCTGATAGATGACCTAGGTTCAAGTCCCAGTTCTGCCATCTGTGACCATGAGGGCTGGGACAAATCACTGACGTTCTCTTGGTATGTACAGTTGAGAAAAAGAGAAAACAGAATCATGAACCTCTCAGGATAGTTGTGAGTAATAAATGAAATATCGTTGCAGAAGGTTCTTTGTGAACACCAAAGCCCTAAAGTGCTGTTCATCTTTTCAGCAAAGCCCTATCTCTTCCTTCCTTTTATAGTAAAACCAGGAGCAAGTGTAGAACCCTTTTTGGATCAAGACTGTGTTACTAGGGCACATCTTTCAGGTGTGAGCACTTACCTAAGCACAGTGGGTCTCCCCTGTTGGCCCTGCAGGAAGCATGGACTCTGGCTGCCTGCCAGTCCCTGAACACTGAGGCCATTCCCGGCTGCCCCGCCTGGGCCTGTCCCTTTGGTCCTGGACAGCACAGGAAGAGGCAGCATCAGCCGGCGTGCGCCGTGCCCCCGCCTGAGAGTGGCGAACAGCACAGAGAGCAGGGCCTGGGCCCCAGCACTGAGGGCCCTCAGCGAGTCCGCAGGGTCAGAACTGAGAAATGGACCCTTCACTCTGACGGTTCATTCTCCCGATGGTTTACTCACCAAAACAGCCTGCCCTGCAGCCTCCAGGCCATTTTCAGACTGGTGTGAGCAGCCACCAGGCAGTGCCCCTCCCCGCTCCAAGCAGCCTCCCAGGCTGTGCGGTGAGGCCGGGCTGAGTGCCCTGCAGCAGCCTGCGCAGAGCCGAAGCCAGCGGGCTGCCCCGGACACCTGCATGTTGCACCAGTGCAGCTCTGAAGGGGACAGGGAAAAGGCAGCGGGGGAGGGGCGAGAGCACTGAGCGAAAGCTGGGGCCCCTGAGTCTGCCCATTCCGCCTCGTCAGCACCCTCTGGGGCACTTTTTCTGAAGGGCAGAGGAGGACATCATGCCCATGTCAGCAGTGGAGACGCGGACACACAAGACCAGCCCAGCAACCCCAGTGTCATCGCAGGGACCCACTCGGCAGCTTCATTTCCCGGCAGAACCTCAGAGCCTTGCCAGGGAGAGAGCAGGGCCTGGGTTCCTGCAGCGCCCCTGGCTGGGCAAAGTTCCTCCTGCTTTTTGTGAAAGACTCTGAAACCCCCATCCCCACCTGATCTATTTCTGGCACTGTGTGCACTGTCTACACCGACGATAGTCCCGGCATCTGGAGCCACGGTGGTTCCAGGAGGGAGTCCACAGCCAGCCAGCGGCTGGGCTTCTCTCTTTCTGTGCCCAGAAGAACCACTGCTTCTGGTGACAGAGGCCCCAGTCAGGGCTTCCTGTGTGGCTCCCATGACCCACAAGAAGGGCAATGTCATGTATGCTGGGACTTCCCATCTTGGCTGGTCTCAAACACCTTCCTTACCTTGCGCCTCCTGTCATCCCAGCTGTGAGGTGACTTTGGACTTGCTGCTCAGATCCTCTGTGCCTACTGTCCTCATCTGAAATAGTGCGATGATAATACCTGCTTCTTAATACTGTGAGGCTGCTTGCAATGAGCTTGCTGTAGTGCCCATCACAGTATATCCACTCCGCAAATGGTAACTGCTAGTATCATTGCAATGTCACTGTGATCATCACCAATATCACCATCACCAACATCGTCATCTCCATGATCACTAACATCATCACCATCACCAACATCATAATCGCCATCACCAACTCCATCTTCACCATCACTAACTTCGTCATCATCATCATCATCACCAGCAGATAATCAGAGAACTGGGTTCTAACTTCACCCCTGACACTCTGCCACCACCTTCGAATATCCCTGTTGAGTCAGGTGCCACGTCCATATGCTTCCCATTCGTCCCTCACAGCAACACCATGAATTAGACACTATTACCACCACCTTACAGATGAGAAAACTGAGGTTCAGAGAGGAGAAGTGATTTGTTCAATGTCATAGACCAGCAAGTGTTAGAATTAGATAAAGTTGCTCTGCCTCAAGGGCCGCTGCTTCCTCACCGGGGCAGTGAGGGGTGCTTGGGCGCCCCGTGGCCAGGAGGTGCGTTCAGGTCTAGCACCTGTGCTTCTGGGCCTCTTCCAACTCTGCCCTTCATTCACCGGAGGAAGCTGGGAGAAGTGACTGAGAGCTGGCAAACTCCCGTGTCAGGTGGAGGGACGCCTGAGAGGAAAGCGGGGCGAGGAGTGAGCTTTGGGGGAAACTCGGGTGGACATTGGGAAGGCTGGTCACACCCTCTGACCTTGCTTCGCCTCAAGAAACTCAAAAGCCAAATGCTGATGTTGTATATTTTGCTACCCCGACCTCACTCTCTGAATCCAAAACCAAACAGACGGGACGGTGGGGCTGCGTTATGAAAGTGCGTTGTAGACTCCAAAGTACTGAAGCTTGTGTTCTTTAATCAGCAGTCAACAGGTATTTATGGAGCTGCCGCTTTATGCTGGATGCTGTGCTGGGAACTGGGGACACAGGTGCTTGGAACAACATCCCCGTCTTCCCCACAGAGTCCGTGAGAGTCGGACGATATGTTGGGTGTGACGATTATTGGTAAGTACTAGATTAGTGTTTCTCAAAATATGATTGCTCTCTGGACCAGACACACTGAAATTGTCTGGGTGTGTGTTATGAATGAAGGATCCAGGAATCAGGATCAGGATCCTGGCTCATCCCGGATCCAGGAAAATCAGAGTCTCTGGGTCCAAGGCCTCAACTGTACTTTCCTAAACAAGTACACAAGTTAATTTTATGGACAATTTAAATGCTATTGCTCAATTTCTGCTTTTTTTCCCCTCACATGTGCACTTTGGGGCCTTTTTGTATAACTGGCTAAAAAAAATGCCACCCCAAAATCCTGTATTTAAAAAGAAACAGAAATGACTGTGAAATACGCCTGTGCCCAAACATCCCAGCTGTGCGTGTGAGGCCGTCCACGTCTCTTTTTACGTGGGGCGCTGCCTCCGGCTCCCTTCCTTCCTGGGCTTGTGCTGGGAGTCCAATCTTTCTGGTCTATAGTAATGATAAAATTTGACTTAAACTACAAGTGAATCTTATTCCTGGTGTGTCAAATAAAAGTATAATTTTTACAAATAGGAGCCTTGAGAACCACAGGTTCTGAGTTTGCAAACCTGAGGGGTCGCCCTTACATCTCCACACGGCCAGCACCGCGCGGTGCCAGTGGTGGCGAGGCACAGCCGAGCGGGGTGCCCGGCGCTGCTGACTGCGAGTCACTTCCCTGCTGCACCCAACAGTCCCGAGGAAAATAAGCATCATCCATGATGTCTTTTAAGCCATTCAGCCATTTCTTACTTGTTCATTTATAAAAATGCATAGTGTAGACTAAAAGACAGATAGATACTGTGTGAGGTGTCAGGGAATGGGGGCTCCCAGGCCCCAGTCAGAAGAACCAAGAACTCCCTGCCTATGGGGATTCACACTGCCGAAACACTTGAAAACCAAACGCCCTGGGACAAATTCTATTCACAAGAGCAGCTCGCTCTGCCTGGGAGAGTCTTAGTCATGGACAAGAATGAACTCAAAGGATGAGTGGGCGTTTTCCGAGTGAAAAATGAGGCGAAGTAGGCAGACCCCTGTGTCTCTGACATGATCCAGCTCTGTGCCTTGAATGAGCACCTTTATATGCACACGGTACGGGTGTGTGATGAGCTCATCTGTGACTGTGCATGTGCGCAGATGAATGCTGATGTAGCTGGGTGTCACCGTGTGTCTATGTACACACTCACATATCTGCTTATTTGGTCACATGTGTCTGTGTATGACGTGTAAGAACAGCTAATACCTAATGAGCACTGACTGTCTGGCACAGCTCCCTGTGCTCCTTAGGCCATCTTGTTTAATCCTCAAACAGCCATATGAGGTAGAGTCTACGACTATTGACAAATTAGGAAACTTTGACCTGGGGAATTTAAATAACTTGTTGGAGGTCACACAGCTTGCTTGTAAGAGCAGCTGCATTTTGAACGCAGGCAATTTGACGTCAGAGCCCACCTCGTGGTGACTGTGCTATGCATCTGTGTGTGTGTTGTGCATGCTGTACATGAATACTTAGATTCATACATATGTCTATATTCAAGTATGAATCTATTCACAAAACTTAAAAGGGAAAATAAAAAGATAGAATAAAACCCCCATATTTTTGACACATTATTTAAAATGCAGAACATACTTTGAAGTGTTCACATCAAAATAAACAGTTGGATGAGTTTTCATAAAAACAAATTTTAATGGATGTGTGTGTATGTGTTTTTCTGAAAATACATTTCCAGTCTTATACATAGAGCCCTTGAGTTCATTGCACCTGTTGTTCCTACCCCAGACATACCTACCCCTAATGGTTGCTGCATTTCCTCTTTAAAGAGCCAATTCTTCCTAAAGAAATATTCTCTCTGCCTGGAGGGTTGGAGGGAGACCCTTAAACATGTCTCCTTTTAGAAGTAGAGTCATCAATCCCCAGCTGCCTGTGGCTGCCGGAGCTGCTTGGCCTGATGGGAAAGAGTAGCTCGCCCAGCACAAAACCCTATAAAGCAATTTTTTCAGCACCTCTAATAATTCTGCTTTATCTGACTGCAGAAAACCCTAACATGGAAATTGAATTGTGAATTTGTTAATCGAGATATAGATGCTGAGAACTTCAATACCTTTCTCACCTAAGGTGATAAAGTCCTTTTGCTTCCATTTATTCCCTCTAATAAATTCCTCTTCTCTTTGTCTTCTTGTGTCTTTCAGTTGGTGAAAGGATTTCTTAATATTCAGTCACTTCAGGGAACAGTAATGGTCTTCCATCTATTGTGAACAATAGGGAAAAAAGTCTTCCACTAGAATAAGTCAGAAAGTGGTATTTAAGTGAAACATAAAATAAGCTTTGCAGACGAAGAAAGAATAGATGGTGTGTTCCATTTTGTCCAAAAGAAACACAGCAGTCAGGCATTATACATCATCCGTGTCCCACCAGCCCAGAGCTTGGTTGGCTTCCATAATCTACAACCGTAATTTATTGCTGTTGATTCTATCAATGTGGAACTAAGAACGAAGGAGCAGAGATTTTAAGATAGTAATGGTTCAGCAATTTTAGTTTGTAACTACTGTATTTTCTGCAAATGACTTAGAATATATTATTTTACTTTTGCCCCTCCTGATCCTAAATTTGTTACACTAAAATTTTCTCTAAGCAGGAAAATGAAATAATGATTTTAGAAAAGTGAATCTTGTATTTAAAACAGGGGGTCAAGCCCGAGCCCTTACCGCTAGGAGAGGATGGCGATTTCAGCCCCTCTGGCTGCGCCCACCTGGCAGGCCCCGCGGCCCCAGTGCGCCTTCCTCCTGGAGGCTGCCGGGCATCTTCTCCACAAGCGTCCCCGCGCCGTGCCCCACTGACCGACATCACTGCTCCCTCCAGTTGGCTAATGAAATTCCGCTCTTCAAGAAACTGCCCTCTAACTCACTTGGAGAAGTCAGGACTTCTGAATGACAGCGTAAGGAGTTTGGCAGGCTCTTCACCCAGCAAAACAGTGTAGCTGGTGAAATTATTTAAAACAAGAAACCAAACAGAAACATAATCATTTAAAGTTTCTGGAAATTGTCCTGAGGGCTTACAGAAAATAGCGAAAATATATTCAAGAAAATCTACTAAATGTTGGCATGTACTGTGAGAGTCTGGAGTTCAAGCCAGGACCCCCTTTCCCCACCTTAACTCCATGTGACACGACCTCTGTTCCGGGCATGCATAGTCAAGAAGCCAGGGTTCTAAATTCTAAGAATTTAGATTCTGGCTTCCAGGAACCCAGGACAAAAGCAATTCAAATTCTCTATTTTTACAATAGATTTTTATCCTGAATTAATGTTGAATTGTATTAAATACATTTTCTACATCTTGAGCATCATAAGCCTTTTCTAATTTTCCATTAATAAAGGAAATTATATTCATTGATTTTTCAAATGATAAATTGCCCTTACATTTCTAGAACCAAACCAAACTATTCATGACATACTATGCCTCTAATTCATTATATACCTCTATTTCATTAATATTTTCTTTAGTATTTTTTCTCTGTGCTCATGATTATTGGCCTGTTATTCACTTTGTTAGATTTTAGAACCATGGTTAAGCTGTCAAATGGAAGTGCTTTATTTGTTTATTAATTTTTAAATAAGTTGTTCAAGGCCCAGCCCAGGCTGTGAACACTTGCCCCATGTGATCAGATGATCTTGGTAGACTGGAGTCAGAACACAGCACAGCTTCCCGGGTTTTGAGATTTTTTTCACTTGAAAACACTATTTTTTATCTTGTATTTTAGGTGTTTATATAAATTTTAGTTTCCTTACTAAATAGAGATGCCTTGAGGGCAGGAATTGTGTCTTGTTCAGGTTTCGCATACAATGGGCACGTACTTCTTTTGGGGGTTGGGGTGACTGCTGGGACAGGTGGCAGCTGGGGTATAGACTCAGAGGAAGGCAGCCGCTCCCCGTGGGAAGGAGCAGTGTGGAACGCAGCAGCGTGTGAGTGTGCAGAGCAGCTAGGAAGAGTGCCACTTCCACGTCTGTGCTGCGTGCTTCTTGCTGACATGTGTCCTCAGGTGCAGAGAGCTGGCCCGCCACGCCCCAGCTTCTGGCACGCATGGTCCTGGGGGAGTGGGGAGCACCATCCTTGGTTTTGTGTTATTTTCCTTCCTTCCTTAGGGTGTCCACAGCCACACTCTTCCACCTCCAGGAGGAGGACCCACCCTATGCATTGGATAACTGACTGGAGGATAACAAATATCTGGACACGTATGTATCCTAAGAAAGCGCGTAGCTTTGTAAGTGTGTCTGCATGCTTTCAATTTTCTTGAATGTTATTAGACTACAGATTATGTTTTGCCTTTTTCTTTTACTTATTTTCATGTTTTGTGTGTCCACTATTTCCCCAGAGTCCTCTAGGAGTGTCCTTCCTCCTCTGCCTCCTGCCGCCTGTTCTCACTTCCCACGTGGTAGTACCCTGTCCCGGACGAGGCTGCCAAAGCCGCCGCAGGCTGGTGCCCGGCGCGCACCGAGCCAGGGCAGACTTCGTGACGGCCTCCAGTGGGACAGGGTGTGTCACTGTGAGCTGCGCACCCCACAGGGGCAAGACAGGTGCGTGTGTGCTGAGTGTGTGGGGGACGAGGGCGGGAGGGACTGAGAGGGGCACAGTCAGACCATCAGGCGCCGCTGGGGCCTGCAGGGCCGGTGCGACCTGGAATGTGCAGTGGGGTGAGGCAGAGGAAGTGGAGAATAAGTCTCTGCACCTGGGGACAGTCGGCTCTGTCTGGGACTCAGGATGTGCACAGAGGTGGGGCCTGAGGACAAGCGTGGCCTTGAATCCAGCCAGTGGGCACTTCGGCCTCATGGGGGCTGGGGACCATGGCCAGCTGACGTTTCCATCTGCTTGGAGTAGCAGGTTTAGAGGATTTTGGTATTTTCTTGATATTTTCTGTGTGAATCCCATACACTGTGGTGACAGTGGTGGTAAATTTTGTCATCCAGCTCGGAGAAGATTTGTGTGAGAGTGTGTGGTGTGCGTGGCTGTGGAGACACACATGCACATCCATTTGTGGGTGTGGGATCCACAGTCCTCTCTCCTTCTGAGCTTTGACAATGATGCAGGCTGGTCACCACCCTTCCCATCTGTCCCTGAGCACTCTGCTGCTCAGCCATGAATGTGGGACAGTGACAGTGTGGTCACTAACCTCCCACTCACAGGCCGTGGTGCAGGGCAGTCCGGCATCAGTGGAAGGACCAGGAGGCCAGTGCTCAGATGTCAGCCATGCTCATGTAACCGCGAGACCACCTCTGGCCTCAGCTTTCTCATTTGCAAAGAGGGCCAGAGGTTTGCAGCACAATCTCTGGGGCCTTTTCCTATTCTGAAATCACTACAACGGAGTCTTGCCAGTTAGCATGCTGCAGGGCTGAGCTGGGTCCACAAACACTAAAGGTTTAAAAGGGGTAAGAAATTGGAAAGGTGTGTTAGATATGGAGTGAGGATTGTGGCCAGGAGAAGAACAGGCATTCTGGCCGGAGCCCCGAGAGGACAACATGGGCCTAATGTCAGGAAATAAGGCCTGGAAGGAAAGGAATTGTGGCGAGAGGGAGATGGGGGTCAGACCTGCCACCAGAGATCCCAGAGTTCCTGCTGATGGGCCCAGAGCTCACCAGGGCCCCCGGTACTTCCTGTAACTGTCTGGCCTGGAAGGAGCACTCAGAGGAGAAAAGTGGCATCTTCCATCTCTGTTTCTATCTCTCTCTCTTTCTCGCCTCCCCACTCTCTGCCACATAGGACAACACCATGGGCAGAGTCCAACCCAGCTGGTGCTGGGAGCTGTCCCAGTGCAGGCAGCTCAGGGGCATCTAGCCTTGTCTGAGTGAAGGCCTCTGTGGCCCACCTTCCCGGAGAGCCTGCAGCAGCCCTGGGCCGAGGGAAGCTGCACGTACCTTAGCTGAGCATTAGGAGGCACCAGGTGAGCCGAAGTATTTAGATGAGAAATTAACACTGCTTTGCCTAGAAAAAGATGAATGTTGGGCAACAGCACACCAGAAAGCTGAACTCCCTGAAAGCAACACGTTTGCCCTGAGTGACACCCCTCAGCAACTCCTTAAAGCTAAGTGAACAGAAAATGTTTAAAATGCCTGGGGCGCACATTTGTGTGGACTCCCCCTTTGCAGAGCAGGCCCTGTGAAGCCCTGCTTCCATCCTTCATGTCTGTGCTCAGAGGCAGCCATGCCCTGTGGTCCTGCGTGTGGCCTCTGAGTCAGACACAGTGCTGGATCCTGTCTCACCAGCCCAACTGCGTGAGCTTGCTCAGGGGAGTTAACACCTCTAGCCTCAGTTTCCTTATCTGTAAAATGGGAATAATAATACCTTTCTAACAGAGTGGTCATGAGGGTTAAAGCTAATAAATCTGTGACATGTGATGATTGATCAATAACGACAGCTGAACTGCCCGGAGTAAGATGACCCCTTCCTCCTGTGGCTGATTAGGGAGCCAGGAGTGACACTACCATCCCTAGGGAAAGAAGGGGCTTACTGGAGAGCTCATCCCCTCCCTATGACACAGGTTAAGACCAGCATAAAGTGGACACAGAACAAATGAGAATTGGGCCTGACCAGCCAAGAGAGGCTATTGTGGGCGTGCGGGTCTCCCGCCTCCTTCACTGCCAGTGGGAAGGGCCGTCCTCGACCGGTCTTCCCTGCTCCTGAGCCCACATCTCCCGAAAACAGAAGGGGAGACAGGGCCCCTGGGCCACTCATGATCTGCTTCTTCAGGAGCAGAGGAAACAGCGACTCCTGAGGCCTGCCCCCAGAGCCTCGATTGCCTCCCCCTCATAGGCAGTCGGCTCTGGACTTTGGCTTAGCCTAGGAAAATTATTAATCCTACACCACGGACCATCTCCTCCCACATCGATGAGTCACCATGCAGCACCCACTGGAAGGCCAGTAAATCTGCTGGGAAGAAATCATCTAGCTCCTTCCAAAGCCACATACAAGCAGTGAGACCCACTGCCATCTCCGAGTCCCCAGGCCCTCATCCAGCCCCCATGTGTGGTGTGAAGGGCATGCCCCCTTCCCTGGGTGACTGAGCAGGGAAACTGAGGACTCCATGCCCACAGCAACCCTGGGCCAGGCTGGGCTGCGTCTGTGGCCGAGGCCTCTGTGTGCTGAGCTGGGTCCAGACCTCAGTCTCTTAGAGTGGACGGCGTGAGAATCAGACATCTCCTAGGAGCCCTTTGAACTCTTGGCCTCCCCAGTCTCCAGTGCCTTTGGCAACTGTCTCCAGCCCCAGGCTCTGTAAGACTTCAACCAAATTCTCAAGGGCTCCACCTCCTGGACTCACACCCATCTTACTGAGGGGACTTAAGACCAAATGGAACAGACCTTTGGCCAACAAGAGATGGTCACATGGTTAAATTCTTCTGTCTTTTAGTCTTTTACTTCCCTGATAAATGGTCCTGAGACAGTTTTATGGCTTCCATGGAGTGCCCTCGGGACAGAGCAATCGGCTGCACAGAGAGGGCCCCAGTGCACCATCGTCTCGGCCCGCCCTCCTTGCCAGCCTCGCTCCCCCTGACCTGGGGCCCGTGCCCTCATCAAGGCCACGGCCTATCCCTTAGACACTGCTGTCCAGGAGACCCGGCTATGGCACAGCTTCCGCTGCAAAGGAGCTGGTCACATGCAGGCCACCGCAGACCACAGACATCCGTCAGTCCCAGAGCGCTCAAGTGTCCTCTGTGAGATCTGTATTGCCCGTGTCACTGACTCTTACGGGTCCCCTTTCATGAACTGGTATCTATGGAACTTTTCTTGTGTGTAGAAGGCAGAGAATTCTGGGCCTTTCACAGACTGGAATCTCCTACTCTTCTTTTCCATTCTTTTCTTCACCATCTCAGTATCTGTTTTTCTTTCTTTTCTTTTCTTTTTCTTTTCTTTTCTTTTTTTTTTTTTTTTTTTTTTTTTTTTTTTTTTGTGAGTGGTGGGATGGGAGGGACCCTGTGGTTCCCAAGCCTCCTGCTAGTGTCCCTCCCTTCTTCCTTCTTCCTCTAGGACAGTGATTCATGATGGTTCCTTTGTGCACACAAATCCTCTACCCAGCCAGAATCCTAGAATTTTTATTAACACTTGCCTCATTCCACTCCCCTAAGTGCACATGTAATCTGTTATGGAGACCTATTTCATTTACTAGCTCATCCTGAATTCGTCTGCTTCTCAGCAACTCCATGACCACATCCTGATCTAAGACACCATCACTGTCCTGGGTACACCAGCTGCCAAGTGAGTGAGTGAGTGTGAGTGTGTGAGTGCATGTGTGTGAGTGCAGTGTAAGCGCATGAGCTAGTGTGCAAATGGGGGTGTGTGTGAATGTGGGCGCATGCCTGTGTGTGAGCGTGTGCAAGTGTGTGTGTGAATGTGCATGAGTGTGTGTGTGATTGTGTGAGCACTTACAGTATTGCTCCAGCATTAGGTATGATCAGAGACTCTTAAAAACTTGAAGGAGCATTTGCCAAGCAAAATGAAACAAGGAAAAACAAAACAGAGCAAGCACATTCTAAACAGAAACAAAACAATCACTGACTTGGATTATATCGGAAGATTGGTTTGAATCAGTGAGTAGAGTTAACTGATGGAAATTTTAAACAGATAAATATGTCTTTATAAATTCCAAGAAGACACACACACACACACACACACACACACACTGGTATGAAATTTCCCTTTATAATTTAGCATCTATTTCCTTTCTCTTGCAGGAAGAGTTTGCCTCTTTCTATCAAATACCGAGAGGCAGAAAGCTCTATGATTTTCCCTTTTTGGAATGTCCAGAAACTCATGCTAAATTTATTGCTCAATTGTAATACCCATATTGGCTTTGCTGGTTATTATACTTATAGTAATTTTCATCATTTAACTTTCTACTCCATTAAAAAAACCTCACTGTGTCTATATTTTTTATTTTAAGCATGTAAATAAAATATTATCTAATAGAGGTCTCTGGAGAACATGCATTAATGCCTAGTTAAAACTGAGCATTTTTATAATGTAAAACTATTAAATATATGCCTAACGAGCTTAATGTGTTCATTCTTTTATGCAGTTTGAGCATTCTTGCTAAATCTCATTTATTCTCTTAATTTGCTTAGCAAATCCTCTTAAGACACGTAATGGAAAGATAAAGATAACAAAAGAACACAAATTCTATGTTGAAAGAATCCACAGTAGTGAGATCGTGTTTGCTTGTTTGTTTTACCTGCAGTTGTGTGCTTGCGGGTGGGGCGGTGGGTAGTGGAGCCGAGGACTCATGGGAACTGGTGGGGCACCAGCACAGCTCCCTGGTCCTCAGAGGAGTCCACACGGCACCAACTCCTACAGATGTGAAGTCCCAGTGGGGGTCTCTGGTGGGCCCTGAGGGGAGGAGCACACGAAGGCTGGTAGTTCGTGCTCAGAGGCGAGCTGCAGGTGCCAGGGCCACTTCCCACCCAGCTGCAGGAAGGCAGCTGAGCAGGAGACAGTTGCTGCTTCTGTGGGATAGGCTTGGTGGATGTTGTTGTTTCTGGAAGAAAAATATGAATGAATGTAGATTTAGGGATCTTTTTGCCATCCAGTAAATCACAGAGCATGGCAGGAGACATCCAACCGCCTGTCGTAGTCTGTTTGGGCTTCTATAACAGAATACCATAGACTGGGTGTCTTATGAGCAACAGACATTCATTTCTCACAGTTCTAGAGGCTGGAAATCCAAGATCAAGGCACCAGGAGGTTTGGAGTCTGGTGAAGTCCTCTTCCTTCTGGTGTAGGCCTGTCTGGGCCCCTCTTGGGAGGGCACTAATTTAATTCATGAGGGCTCTGCCTTCATGACCTAATCACCTCCCAAAGGCCCTGCTTCCTAATGCCATAACCTTGGGTGTTGGGGTTTTAACATGAATTTTAGAAGGACATAAACATTCAGACCATAGTAAACTCCCACACATTTCCAAAAAGAAGAGTGTGTTTGGGCTCAGAAACTGGTACCTCAAAATATGGTGCTTTGATCGTGCTGAACTGACAGAGGAGCCTTAAGGTCTCTCTGGTCCTCCTGCCCACCCATCTCTCCCGGAGCACAAGATGAAGTGGTTCTCTGAAGTTCCCTCACTGCCTGCAGTCCAGACCTACCAAAGAAGAAGACGGTTACCTCTGGTCCCTTCCCTGAGTTTTCATTAACCGAACCCCTATCCCAGGAAGGAAGACTAAAGTCTGTCAGCAAACCTGAACAGACTTTTGTCACACACCATGTTGCTGCAGGCCCAACAGACCACTGTAAGTTCTCCAAGACTACTGAATTCTCCCTAATAATCCCGTATTTCCGCTCAACAGAATTTGTCTCTCCCCGCTCCCATAACCTATTTTGCCAGGATCCAAGCCCCTGTTCTTCCTGTAACTCAAGATGATATATCAGCTTCTGCACCCGAGGAGGGGCTTGGGTCTTCATTCTGAATGCTCCTGTGTGTACACGTTAAACACCTTTGTGTGCCTTTTCTCCCGTTAATCTACCTTTTGTGAGTTGATTTTTTGGTGAAACTTCGGAAGGCTGAGGGGACATTTCCCGTGGCCCCGACAAGCGGGAGGCCTTTCAGAGAAGAGCCAGGGAGCTGCTCACACCCTCGTCTGAGGGAGGACTGCACTTGGCTTCAGCCGGCCAACAAGACTTTGAGGACAGTGCCCTGTCCTTCTGGGGACACAGCAGTGTGGCCAGATTTGGTGGTCAGACCTGGGTTGAGAGCCACGCAGAGCCTCCTGGCTGTGTGGCATCAGTCACCTCGGGGACGCTCACTAAATATGTACCATTCAGTGTAGTGGCAAGAAGTGAGTTCAGGACATATGTTGTGACTGGACCAGTTCCTGACACAGCATGGGAGCGTCGCCAGCGGCGATGATCATAATTGTTTCTAGTTTTCCTCGTGGCTCTTACAAACTACTCGGGAAGACCAAAATTTTAACTAGCAAGAAGAAGTGTTTACAGTTTAAGAAAATAGGTGTCCCTAGGCAGCATTTGGTTAATTCATAAAGACAGTTGCCCTGGTATTTCTAGTCACTGCCACATTACATATGTAATGTAATAACTTACTGGTGTTCAGTGGAGACCCAACTCGGCCTCAGCAGGGCTGGGGCAAATCCTGTGAGTAAGGCCACGGCTGGGGCGTGTTGAAGCCAGGCCAGTGACTGCTGAAGGCTCCTTCTGCAGTTTGAGCTGCTATTTGAGGTTGACTTACCTGGGCTCCGAGAGAACTCAACATTGAAACAGAGGGCTCTGATCTCACCTGATTTCTTGATCCAGATGAACAGAAGTATTCAACTCATGAAAATATACCAAGTTTTCCATGCATACATATATTTTATGTATGTATTTTTATGGTTCAATAAATGTTTGGAAAAAAAGCTTTTTGGTTTTTTAACCTAGAAAAGGAAGACATGAGGACAGAACTTCTGCTACTGGGTGTATCTCTCATCTTGATGTTGATCTACACAGAAGAAAAATTTGTACTAAAAATTCATTCCAAACAGCAAGATACATATATAAATACATATATATACACACATACATACTACTACTACAGTAAGACAGAGAGATCTCAGTACAGAACTGAGCTCAATAGCAAACATAGGTGATTATTTATAGCTAACGATCAGGGGCTCAGGAAATGCACTAAGAGGAACTTGCTGAGCTATCAAGGGAAGGGGGATTCTTGCTAAACTGACCTACAAGTGTCTTGTTAAAGGCAGGCCGAGGACCTAGATATCAGGGGAAGGGGCGTGTTGATAAACTGACGTAGCAGGATTCTTTGCTGAAATTGGACTCAACACAAAGAGACAGATGACCAAATTCAGGCCTAGTCAGGAATGTGGATTAGAGGAGCCAGACTGCAGTTTGGTCAAGGACCGAGTCCTCAGTGCTGGTGCTGCCGACTCTGTTGCCTGCTGAGCCACAGGAGAGGCACATGGAATCTGTCCGCGGCCAAGCCAGTCCAGGGCTAGGCCTGTGGGTGAGGCCTGAGGATGTTCACTTGAGGGGTCTAAATATGCTCAAGGCCTCTCAGCGGTGGGGTAAAGCCAACTTCCACCCTGGACAGCAGAGTGCAAGAGTGGCCAGGGCCAGTGGGGAGCAGGCCCAAGAGGCGGGTTGCACACAGCAGAGAGGGGGGCCCAGGCCCTGGTCACACTGCCCGGAGCAGATCTGTCTCCATCACCTGCTGTCTGTGAGACCTTGGGGAGACGCTTCACCTCGAAAAGCGTTTTCCCTCGTCTGTGAACGTGGGGATGACAGCAGCAAGCCAGGTCACTGCGGGCACTAAACAGGCTGAGGCCCACAAGTCCCTGGTGCGGAGCCTGAGCTGGAGTTACAAGTAATCATGGTAGCAGGAAATTTGCGTCCCCACTTCAGCAGATGCTACCTGGGGATGGTGGCCCCCAGGACAGTGTGGATGAGCTGGCCACTCCTGTGGGCTGCAGGGATAGACCTGCCAGGGCCTGGGCTGTCATAGCCAGGGGGCTGTCGAGTCAGGGAATGTCTGAGTGACTGTTGATGGGACCTCATTATCCCCACAGTGGGGGAGGCCTGAATGCCACTCAGGTGGCATTCACATACTCCTTTGTAAGTGAGAATGAGTCAGGCATCCTGGAGAAGAACCACTTCATCAAAAGGATGAAGTGATTTGCACTAGGGGAGGGAAGGGTTACATTTAGTATGTGGCAAAAACGATGCTAGGATGCATCTTCTCGGCCCTCTTCCAGTGCTTTCTCCCCTCTTGTACAGTCTATCTGAGCAAGAGCTCTCCTGAGGGTAAGTGGCCCCAGGTCCACCTCCGCACACAGACTTCCACCCCAACCAGCTGCCTCCCTTGCAATGCCTGGTCCCTGGGCATCTCACTCCCCTCTGTTCATGGAGCAGCTGGAGCGGGCCCCAGCAGGCTGCCTGGTGTGGAGAGGGCATTGCTGGTGCAGCAGGACCAGCTGCTTGAGCTGCAGAATCCGGGGAGAAGGCAGTGAGGGCTGCGCGCAGGGAGGCCTCCTGAGCATGCTGTGACTTCACAGCAGCTGTATTTCTAGAAGTCAGAATGCTCACAGCTGTGGGGTTTGTGCCCAGTAGGCGACCGCAGGCAGATCCCAACACAGTAGGGGAGGCGAGGCCTGGGCCCAGCCTGGCCAGAGGGAGCCGCCTCCATCGCGGGTGAGGCTGAGAGTAGGAAAATCGTCTCAAATGTCTCAGGACCTCTCTGTGGGTCACATTAAAAGCCCTCACGGAACCAACTGGTTGTAGGAGGTAATGATTTTCTTAGTATTTTATCCTAAGGCATCAATAAATTAGAGGCCTCTACTATCTGAATGTGAGGATCCCATTAAAATGACAAATGGCCTCTCCTGCTCTCATTGGTGACTGGCCCAGGAGAGGCAGAAGTGGATGTCTCCACGGGGCAAAACTGCAGGCCAGACAAATGGCCCAACAGACTTTAAATTTAGAGACAGATGAAGCTGGCCATCAGACTGAGAGTGCTAACGGCTGGGTAAGTATCACAGGCCAGGCTGGCGGAGGGTACAGTGGAAGGACGGGGCCTTGGTTCTGGAGATGGCCCTGCCCCTCCTTGGCAGCAAGGAGTTCAGTCAGCAGCCCAGACACTGCAGACCTCTCATCCGAGTCCCTGCCTGTGGGCACGACAGGCAGGACCTTTGGGCTCACGGTGGGCTGGAGTCCACAGGGTCCCCCATGGCCATGGCACTTGTCCCAGGGCTTGCTGGGTGTGTGCAGGCTCAAACTCCACAGGCCTGGGGGAGGGGGCCTCTGTGGGCTGAGTGCTGAACAGGGACACGGCAGGCCATGCAGGGCTGTGTTAATGGGGAAAAACATCAAACTGTAAAATAATTTGGAAAGGTTTATTCTGAGGCAATATGAGTGACTGCAGCCCAGGAGACATAGTCTCAAGAGGTCCTGAGAAAATGAGCCCAAGGCAGCCAGGTTACAGTTTGGTTTTATACATTTTAGGGAGACAGGAATTATAGGCAAAATCATACATCGATACACAGAGGGTATATATTGATTTGGCCCAAAAAGGCAGGATATCTCAAAATGAGAACTTACAGGTTATAGGCAAGTTCAGAGATTCTTTAATTTGTAATTGGTTAAATAAATAAAGCTCTATCTAAAAGCTTGGAGTCAGTAGAAAGGAATCTTTAAGTAAGATAAAGAAGTCTACTGATCATAGAGCAAGCCAGACACAGCAACTCAAAGTGATCTTGCGAGCAAATTGATGGCCTTCAGGCATGACTTAACCTTTCCTTGAGTGGCCTTAGATCCCTTTCCTAAGTTAACATCTTATTACCACAAAGAGTCTATTTTGTCAGTCGTATGATCTCTATTTTGACATTAATGCTTGTGAGTTGTTGTGTCCAAACTCCACGAGGCAGGAAGTATAAGGAGGCATAGCCAACCTCCCTTCCCTTCTGGGAACTCAATTTTAAGGTTTTTATGGGGTCCTCTTGGCCAAAAGGGGATCTGTTCGGTTGGAGGAGGGGGAATTACAATTTTATTTTTAGTTTACAGTTGGGAGATGTTGAAATTCCAGCCCAGTGAGATGGAGAGAGTTCACCATGCACCTCAGGCCATTCTATCAGACCCAGGAAAGTACAACTTAGAGATAAGAAACATGCCCTGCAAGCAGTCTTCATCCTAGAGTGAGTTACAAACAGAAAACAGAAATAGGCATGCCACAAAAGGAAACAAAACCAAGCCTGATAGACCCAAAAGATCTGTGATTTAGCTGCCTGTCACCGAACATCTTGACATCTTAAAAGTAGATGCCACAGGACCCTCTGTTATCCCCTATGTGGATAATTTATATTTCTCTCTTTTTTTTTTTCTGTTTTTTCCCTTCATTATCCCAATCTCTCCCCAGCCCCAACCCTTGGCACTCACTTTTCAGGCTGATTTCCTGGCTAACCGCTGAGCCTTTGCTGAGCCCTTGCTGTTCGTCTTCCAAGCACACTCTCACCCTTCATTCCATCTATAAAAATCTTACGGCTCAAGCCTGAGCATAGGAAAATGGTCTTGACCACTCATTCATTTCCCACTTCTCTAAGTTCTTGTGTTATCTGGTGACCATCACTGTTATGTTGACCCCAGTGGCAGTCAGACATGACTGACTTAGGCACTAGATGCACTTACCTGGCATAGCCTGCGAGGCAGGGAGCAAACGCTGCGCATCGCCAGGTGCTCCTGCAGCTTACAGAGCGTTGGCAACTGACAGTGTCTGCTACGTGCACGGTGAGGTGGATCTGGACTCCCTCCAAGAGGAGGGAGAAGACAGGCTGGAGGATGGTGAGGACACAGGACAGAGAAAGGCTCGGTGGGAAAGTCGTATCTAGATTGAGGTGCAGGGCCGCAGTCCCTTGAGCTTGTCAAAGGCAACCAGATGTTTTACAACTGGATTATCTCCAGCACCGGCCACTGTGTGGCCTTCAACATCTGTGGTGTCCCCGAGACTGCACCCCCTGAGGAAGAGGGAAACCTCCTTGGGGGTGTCTGCAGGAGGACACCAGGGGCTACAGGGCCTGTGGTGGCTGGTGTCTGGCCCTGCATACTGTGCTGAGAGTCTGCGGGCTGTGCAGGGGATGCCTCCCCCCGTCTCCCAGAAGCTCCGGGAGGGACTTGGGCTCCCCTAAAGTGGTTTTGCACCCCGTTTTCCTTATTCAAAGATGCCTCCATGTGTGGAGACTGAGACCTTTCTGCGTCCCCAAGCTCCCTTCCTGTCAGCAGTGAGGTTTACGGGAGTCTGCGGGGGCAGCGGGGCTGGGGGCGGTGGTGAGGCCGTGGAGGGGCAGAGGGAGGCTGCTCTGGGCAGCTCTGCGAGTGGAAGTGTCCAAATGCCTTCCATGTTTCCCAGGCAGGCTGGAATTGGAGACACAGACATCTGAGTTTTTGATACCCAGCGTCCCTCCCTTGTCACTGAGCAAGAAAGGCCCAGCGGGGCCCATCCTCTCTTCTGTCCAAGCGCAGCATCCTCCCCAGGCCTGGGGACCAGGCTGGAGGCGCCGGGGCCCAGAGTCCACGTCCCCCAGCTGCCTCCCTGCAGCAGCCACGCCGCCCCTTGGGGAGACCTCTGTCAGTGGGGCCTGAAGAGGCCTTTCCCGGACGGAGAGGAGGGGTGTGACACACCTGCGCCAGCTGCTCTGCGGCCCAGGGGGCCTGGCCTCCAGAACAAGGAGCCTGGAAGACTCAGTCAGGCCTTTTCCTCTGTTTTGGGACTGGTTGTTTCTGTTTGAACATTCTTTCACCGGGGACTCTAGAAACCTAGATATTTATTCAGAAAATTCAGTAACCATTTGTATGAACACTATTCTATTGACTAAATAGTTGACTTG